TCAGACTCAATGGTGTCTCAAACGGAAAGCCATTGTATTTAATGCCGACTCTGGAGATGGGGTTTGCATTGTATGACAATTTGGCCCAAAATATTAACCGACCGGTCGTTGGACTCAATTGGACTCCAGATGTGAACCGATTGTCGACTTTGAAGGAAGTGATGAAATACTTCACTGATTTGATGGCAAGACTCGAACCAAATGGTGGTTACGATGTGTTGGGATCGACGGACGGAGCGATCATTTGTGGCCAACTCTTACGGAAAGGTTTGGCAGAGAAGGCGGTTATGATTGATGTGCTGTCGAAACAGCGCTTCCGAGAGGACGATCTGAAGGACGATATGGTATTGGAGTTGATATTGAATTGTCTTTCGAATGACTTTCCCAACGACTTTAAGAGGAAGTTATTGAGAGAAAGTTGTGATCAAAACATTGATTCCAGTGTCAAGAGAATTGGCGCTGAATTACGAGAGTTTGCGGGAAAAGCAATGATATCTCAAGACTTGGACCTAATGTTGGAAATAATGGTTAAACGGATCCGAATGTTATGGACGTATAGATTGAATAAAAAGCAAAAGTTTGGAAACGATTTCAAAACAATGGTTAACAAAAAATGGATGAAAATGAACGACAAATCTGTGGTTATATTAATGTCTTCACAATTGGATTCATTGGACGACAATAATAATGAATGTCTCAATACTTGCAATCATTTCTATTTGATTCCTAATTCAAAGGCATGTATTAGTTATGCATTCAATTGAGTAATAATTAATTTAAAAATAATTTATTTTCATAGGATTTTCCTTCAATTATAACCACTGATTGTGTGGACACAAGTGAATCAATTCATGTGACAAATGCTGTTATTGTCAACAAATTAATCCAAATATTTAACAAATAATTTTTAAAATATTCCTATGATTTAAATTTGAATACAAATTTTATTTGTTAAATATGTTAATCAGTTTTAATGTTATCTTATAAAACTATTATAATTATAAAATTTTTGATTATTATTAATAATAATTTATTATTAATATTCAATTTCTGGCATTCAATGGGTCTCTAATAATAACTATTATAATTGCTTATAATTTTGAATTTGGTTATAATTTATATTTTTGCTATTTTATAGTAAATATTAGTTTTATTACATTTAATTTTAGTTCAAACACTCTTCTAATTAACTGTAATTCATAATTGAATTAATTATTTAATAAAAAACCTTTTTACCAACTTTGTAATATTGAGATAGTTTATTGTTTCAATTAATTTATAATATTTAAGTTTTAATTTCAATTATTTTTAAAACATTTTGAACTTAGGTTTTAATTAAAAACTAATAATTGATTATCAATATTTATTAATTACTAACTTTCAAATTGTCAATTACTTTGTAATATTTATTAATAATAATTATTTAATTAATTGTTTTTCATGTTTTAAACGTGTATATCATTTGCCGCCAAACAGTTTGAATGTCTTTGCATTGAATGGATGTTTGCATTCATTCATACATTAATAACGTTTGGGTTTTGGAGTGATTTTTGGTGACAGTTATAGAGAGTAAGCATTGATAGGGTTTCACAGGTTTTACACATTCAACACGTTT